AAAGATAGTTCAACAGGTAAGAGCACACACTTCTCTTTCAAACGCCCTGAGTTAGGGTCCCAGCACCCACATTGGGTGGCTCACAACTACCCACAGTTCGAGGGGTTTCCAAAGTCTCTGCCCTCACCAGGCACCTGCACTCAATGCCCCCACGAACACACGGGCGCACAGGCACAGGCACTTATACACAAAACTTTGAAATTAATAAAGATAAATTTTAAAAACAAAAGAGAAGACATAATTTGGGAGGGTGGGGGGAAGCTTGAGTTGGAGAGGATGGCTATTATTGAAATACATTATATTCATGTATTAAATTACCAAGAAATACATTTTGAAAATTTAAAAGGGGAAATGGCAGTGAATTAGAGAACGGAAGCAATAGAGCACTGCTGAGCGGGTATTATGAATAAAGTTTCTTCTTTTTTTTTTAATCCAGTGTGTTATCAGTCTGAACTCAAAGGCGGCCTGAATGCCTGAGACTTGCTGACAGTGTTTCAACAGAAGCCCTTTGTTTTGTTCCAAAAAACAGGACAGGAAGCGCAGCTGGGTTAGACAGAGCGAGTAGCTTTTATTGTTTCTCTGCCCCAACACATGGCAGCCTTAGCCAGGCACCTCAGCCAAGGGAGCAAACAGCGTTTGTCCCTGACCAGCGAACTGGGATGCATTCAATACTGCAACTACCTGGTTTTTTCCCTGTCTGTGCCCCTGTGTCCCCAATGTCTGGTAACCAAGTTGGGATGTTTGAGCTTTAGTTTCTATTTCCAGAACCAGGAAAGGGGGCACCAGGCAAAAGAAGGTGTTTGGGAATCCGCTGTTAAAACGGAGCTGAAGGAAGCAATTCCAGAAGTTGTCTAGGGACGTCAGGGCTCAGCCCCAAGTTAAGATGAACCAGCTAACTCTATAAACAGGATGTTTACACTGAAGGCTTGAAAAGGCGTGCATTAACATAAGGCTGTCCACTAGATGGAGCAAGTTTGAACCAGCTTCAACTAGCACAGCCAAGGCTTGGTAGTGATATCTTTCTGGCACCAGGTAGAAAGAAACCATGACTGAGCTTACCCAGTCAAAAAGACATTAATGTTCTCCATAGGTGCATCATAATCAAAACTTCCAGGGCACCATTCACAACTGCCATCCACATGAAGAAATAACAAGGGGAATCAGAACATCTCACGGAGAAAAAGAAAGTTAATAGAGCTATCAAAGTTTTGTTGTTTTTTTTTTAAGTCAATGAAATGAGAAAGACTTGCTACTAACTCGGAGAAAGTATTTGTGAATTAAGAATCAGACCTTTCTCCACAACCTCTCCAGCATGTGTTGTCACTTGAGTTTTTATCTTAACCATTCTAATGGGTGTCAGGTGAAATCTCAAGGTCGTTTTGATTTGCATTTCCCTGATGAGTAAGGATGTTGAGCATATCGCTGTTTCCATTCGATATTCCTCTATTGAGAATTCTCTGTTTAGCTCTGTACCCCATTTTTAATTGGGTTACTTGATTTGTTGCTGTTTAACTTCTTGAGTTCTTTACATATACTGGATATTAGCCCTCTGTCAGATATAGGGTTGGTGAAGATCCTTTCCCACTCTGTAGGCTGTCGTTTTGTTCTGCTGACAGTGCCCTCTGCTTTACAGAAAAATTTCAGTTTCATGAGGTCCAATTTATTGATTGTTGATCTTAGAGCCTGTGCTGTTGGTGGTCTGTTCAGGAAGTTGTCTCTTGTGCCAATGAGCTCAAGGCTCTTCTCCACTTTTTCTTCTAACAGGTTTAGTGTGTCTGGTTTTATATTGAGGTCTTTGATCCACTTGGACTTTAGTTTTGTGCAGGGTGATAAGTATGGATTTATTTGCATTTTTCCACATGTAGATAGCCAGTTAGACCAGCACCATTTGTTGAAGATGCTGTCTTTTTTCCATTGAATGGTTTTGGCATCTTTGTCACAGATCAGGTGTCCATAAGTGTGTGGGTTTATTTCTGGGTCTTCTATTCGATTCCATTGATCCACCAGCCTGTTTCTATGCCAGTACCATGCAGTTTTTTATTACTGTTGCTCTATAGTACCCTCCTCCATTGCTGGTGGGAATATAAACTTGTACAACCACCTTGGAAATCAATTTGGTGCTTTCTCAGACAATTAGCAGTAGTGCTACCTTAAGAACCAGCTCTACCACTCCTAGGCATATATCCAAAAAATGCTCAAGTACACAACAAGGACATTTACTCAACTATGTTCATAGCAGCTTTATTTGTAATAGCCAGAATCTGGAAACAACTGAGATGCCCCTCAATTGAGGAATAGATACAGAAATTGTGGTACATTTACACAATGGAATACTACTGAGCAATTAAAAACAAGGAAATCATGAAATTTGCAGGCAAATGGTGGGAACTAGAAAAGATCGTCCTGAATGAAGTATCCCAGAAGCAGAAGGACAAACATGGCATATTCTCACTTATAAGTGGATATTAGACATATAATATAGGATAATCATACAAAAATTTGTGCACCTAAAGAAGCTAAGCAAGAAGGAGGACCCTGGGTAAAATGTTCAATCTTCATTCATAAAGGCAAATGGGATAGACATCAGAAGAAGGTGAAAATAAGGAACGAGACAGTAGCCTACCACAGAAGACCTCTGAAAGACTCTAACCAGCTGGGTATTAAAGCAGATGCTGAGACTCATAGCCAAACTTTGGGCAGAGTGCAGGGAATCTTATGAAAGAAGCGGGGGATAGAAAGACCTGGAAGGGTCTGGAGTCCACAAGGAGAGCAACAGAACCAAAAAAATCTGGGCACAGGGGTCTTTTCTGAGACTGATACTCCAACCAACGACCATTCATGGAGATAACTTAGAACCCCTGCACGGAGATAGCCCTTGGCAGCTCAGTCTCCAAGTGGGCTCCCTAATAAGGGGAGCAGGGGCTGTCTCTGACATGAACTCAGTGGCTGGCTCTTTAATCACCTCCCCCTGAAGGGGGAGCAGCCTGACCAGGCCACAGAAGAAGACTATGACAGTCATAATGAGACCTAATAGACTAGGGTCAGATGGAAGGGAAGGAGGTCCTCTACTATCAGGGGACTGGGGGAGGAGCATGGGAGGAGATGAGGGATGGAAGGAGGGAGGGGTTGGGAGGGGATGAGGGTGGGGCTACAGCTGGGATACAAAGTGAATAAATTGTAATATATAAAAAAATATATTAAAAAAATAAAAACAAGATTTCTTAAAACTTAATAGTGAGAAAACAGGCAACTCAACTTTATAAAAAGGGCTACAACTTAGATATACTGCCAACAGGAAGCACTGACAATACTGTCAACATCAAGGGAACTCAAATTAAAAGTTCGCACCTATTAGAATTCCTGCTGCTAGGTCCTCACCTAAGAAAAGTAAACCTTGGAGCTAGTGAGATGGCTCAGACAGTCAAGGGGCTTGCTGCCAAATAGGACAACCCGGGTTCTATCTCTGGGGCCCACATAGTAAGAACTGATTTCTGCATATGGTCCTCTCTCCTTCACCTATGTGTATAATGACCATAGACAGACAGACAGACAGATATAAATATCAAATGCTGTGTTCATATAAAACTTTATGCAAACAACTGGGGAGACGGCTGGGTGGGGAAAGCGTGTGCAAGCATGAGGACCTGAGTTCAAATCTCAAGTGTGTGCCTGTAACCCCATATTGGGGACTGAGCCCCGGCACCTCGATGGCCGGCCAGCCTGTCCAAAATGAAAAGCAGCTCAGTGAGAGATGCTGTATCAGGGCAATAAAGGTGGAGAATGACAGGACAACTACACTAAGTCCTTCTCTGCCCCCTGAATGTTCACACAAGGGCAAGAGACTCACATGCATGCACCACAGACACATCCCATGCATATATACGTGCGCGCGCGCACACACACACAGTTTTAAAACTTCTGCACATGTATATGGTCATGGTCACTTTATTCAGAAGAAGAATCTGGAAACAATCCAAATGCTCATCCATTCACAGATAGGCAGGGGGTGGCACAAGCCTGTAATGAAACACAGCCATGTGGACACACAGACTAGGAGCGCATCTGACAAGATACCCTTTTAAAGAAACGAGCCTCAAAGGCACACACACTTCATGGCTTCGCTTGCCCAGCATTCCACAGAAGGCAAAACTACCCCGGCAGAGAACAGATCAGAGGCTCTGATCAGATCAGAGAACAGAGATGGCATTATGAACAGAGAGCGCTCACGGTGTGGCAGAACTGCTCTGTACCTTGTGTGTGATGTCATGTCCCCCTCTCCCTCACCAAAGCCAGGAGAACAGCTGCCCCTCGTGGTCCCTTTACAAAACTTGGAACCAACCTCATCCATGCTTTCCCTGATGATGAACTGAAACTCTGAGACAAAAGAAACCTTTCCTCCTTCCCCTGGGTCAGGTACTTTGGTGACAGAGGACAGTGGCACAACAGTCCCCAACAGCCAGCCCAAATACATCACCTCTGCCAGTCTCCCCAAAACTCCCTGCTTTAGCTTTTGCCTCTTTCCTACAGTGCCATTGCTGGGCAGGTTAGTTATTCTTTCTGCGTTAGCTTCCTAACAGCCTGCTCACTCCTTAGCCAGTGAGACTGTACCCTCCCCTCATACTGCAAGGCCTTTCAGTTTCCTTGCTTCCATCTTTTCCTTCTCTGCCAACTTCACTCCAACTTCGCATCCTCAGGGCTCTAGATTTAGCACCTCACTCTACACTATGAGGAGTCCTGTCCACCAGAGCAGCACATAAATCGTACTTCCTATCTTCCAAACCATAACTATAATCATAAAATATTCCCCGAGGAACCACAGAAGATTGCCAACTGCATCCTGAGAGAGGGGCCCGGAGGTCTGTGGTAAAGCATGAACAAAGCCCTGAATTGATACCAGAGCAGGGAAAAAAATAAAATAAAAAAATAAAACAGAGTTGAATTGAATCCTTTTATCTAAGTTCAAAGTTCAGTAGGTGTTCTTCAAAGAAAAACTTCAGGCATGCTCAGTGTGGTACTTTATTGGAAACTGGATGCATACATTGGTGAAGTAAGATCAAAGTGAACAGCATTTGACACTATCCTAACATCTATGCTATCTTCTTACATAACAATAAATCCCAGGATGCCCTTGACCTGGGTACCAAAGGGTGAGCTTTAATGATCTAGAAATATCTCCATATAAATATAAATCATAGCATCCAAAATAACCACCGTTGTTTTAGGTCAGGTTCAAAAGTCCTGGGAAATCTCTTAAAATAACAAGTACTTTAGGTGGCTGCAGAAGCTGGAAGGTTGGGGCCGTAGCTCAGTGGCAAAATGCTTTCACAGCATGAACAAGGCCCAAAGTTCTACCTCCAGTGCCACAAAAGATTAATAACGAAACCACGGAGTTAATGACAACAAAGCTCAGGCAGAAGGAAGTGTTCTGCTGTGGGGCACAAAAAGGGGCTGAAATGCTGGGTAAAAAACTCAGCCACCCCACATTTCGAACACTCCTAGAGAGTCAAAGCTAGCAGAGCCGTGAGATGCGGAAAGCAGGTCATCTCACCAATTCCTCTGGCACGGTGAAATAATGGCAAAGCTCTCCTTCAGGTTACACAAGAGTGGGGACTGACAGAGATGTTTTTGGAACGTGTGCTCATCTCTCTCCCCCTGACATACTAATACTAGCTCCTTCTCCCCAACTGAGAACAAAATGGAAGGAGTTTCACTTTGGAAAAAAAAGTAAGTGTGATTTGCTGAGGATGGGGTACACGGCTTTGCATGGTTTGGCATGAGGGATGCTTGCCAGTGTTACTCTTTCCCAGTCTCGCTCACCTCCTTTACCATCAGCAGCTTCAGGAATTTTTGGTTCTTCAAGCTTCTCATTACACAACAGCTGTGTGGCTTCACTGCACACAGGCAGCTTTCACCTCCACTAAGTCATGTGGTTCTCCCAACCCTGTGAGGTAGGAGGGCAGGGGTCATGACCCCTAGCTGAAAGCTAAGAAGCTCGGTACTCAACAAATTAGGTCTCTTGTTCAAATCTACGCTGTTGGCCAGCTGCAGAATCAAAACTAAAGCACAAGTCCAGCCCCTGAGTCTGCTGCTGTCTTTTTGAGAACAGGCTAGGGTGAGACACCATTGCACGCATCATCCATCCCACTTTCAAGGGTCTCAGACAGCCCCATTGAGAACCGGATGAGTCCGCATTCGATAGATGATGACTGCAGTGGCCGGGCACAGAAACAAGGAGGTCATGATGACAATGGTGGCCAGGATGATGAGGACAATGGCCCAGATATCCAGGATGTGCTTGGGAAGCAGGACATCCACAGGGGATTGGCTGATAGCATCCATGTTGGCCCTGGAATGGACAGGAAAGGAAAGTCAGTTTCGTGTACCCTCTCCTTGCCTTCCTCCTGGGAAGATCTCTAGTGGTGAAAACAGCATCATTTGCTGGGGTGTCCTATTACCAAGCATATGCAAAACCTTTTTTTTAATATTTTATTTTATTACATATGTGTGTGCGCATTCATTCACATGTCCTGTTCTCACCTATGTGAGTGTGTCTGCAGACACCAAAAGAGGATGTCGGGTCCCTCGCAGCTGGAGTTACAAGTGGTTACAGACTGCCTGACCTGTGTGCTAGGTCCTCTGCATGAGCAGCAAGTGCTCTAAACCACAGGGCCACCTCTCCTGTCCCTTATGCAAGGCACTTGTCTACTAACACATTCTGTCCTCATGACAACACCAACCCAATGGAGAGGAATTCCAAATAACTGTTCATTTTTGGTTTCTTCTCCTTTATCTTCAGATATTCCCATTTTATGTTGGAAATCAAAGCCATGCAGATGTCAATAATTTGGTCTAGGAAATAAATCCAGATGGATGAAACTTTCATGCTTACTGTTTAAACTACCAGTCTGTTTCCATCTGTAAAATGGTAATTCACTTGTTTTGGTCTTTGCTTATTCTTTTGGGGGGAGGGGTATGTGGGTACAAATACACATGTATGTTCTATGTGTGGAGGATATTGGACAACCTTGAATGTCAGTCCTCAGGTGTTATCCATCTTGGTTTGGGGTATTTTTTATTAATACATGGCCATATTTTTTAATTGAGCAAGGAGTAGAAAAGAAAGCCATTATCCTGGGCCCTGTTCAAGGCATCTTCTTGTTCCACAGGGTTAAGGTGTTTGGGAAAATCAAGGTGACACCTAGATGTGTACCCTGTGATGGACCCCTCACACTCTCCATCTCAACAGAATATAGTGTACTACACTCTGGAACCCGGGGGCACAAAGAGCAGCACTTTCTTAAACACAAACAAGAAAGGTGGCATACCATCACTGTGGGAAAGACAGCCAATTGCACATCTGTAATCATCCTCACCAGCCCCATTCAGTTCCAACTCCAAGCACACAACTTGGTTTCTGAGCCGGGGTCTCACACTGGGACCTAGGGTTTGTATACTCAGATAGGCTGGCTAGAAATCTCCAGGGATCTGCCTGCCTCTGGCTTCCTGGCTCTGGATTATAAGCACGATACAACTTTTTTCACAGACCCTGGGGGTTGACCGAACTCAGGTCCTTTTGTTCGTGGCAAGCACTCTACCAAAAGAGGCAATTCTCCAGCTCTCCTTATAAGACACTCCCCTTTTTCCAAAGAAAGCCTGTCTGCTTACTCCCTGTGGGTTCACTGAGACATCCACCCAAGCAAAGAGATGGGAGATTTGACTTAGGGGTGGCATGGTGAATCTCCAGAGCCACATTTGGGGATACACAAGTGACCCAGATTTGTCCACCAATTTCTTCTCTAGTACTTTTGTGCACAAGCTCTTGGAAAAGGGCCAGGGTGGCTACATTGAAAGACTGTATATCTGGTAAGGGTGGGGTTGTTTTGTTCACAGTAGAGCACCTGTCTTAGAGTTAAACACAGGTAGCACCTTGGTAGTTATCACCTGATGTCACCTGATAGTGAGCACATGAACCTTGCCAAGTTTGATGCCACTTGCAACCCTAAGACATGCCAATCATATGAGCTAATAATCTTCTACAGTCTGCTTAAACCAATACCCATTTTACAGCCTCCTTTGCACCTTAAAAAAAAAAAAAATGTTCAACACGCCTATAATACCAGTGTTTGAGACGATAAGGTAAAAAAAAAAAAAAAAAAAAAAGATCAGGAGTTTGAGACCAGCCTGGGCTACATTAGCAAGACCCTGCCAAAAACAAACAAACAAACAAAAAAAAACTATATTCATATTGATAATGATATAAATCAGTTGTTCTCAGATTTGGTTCACAATGCTTTTGGTGTCTTGGTAATTTGTTTGGTTTGTTGTTTTTGTTTTTGTTTTTTTTTTTTTTCCAAAGCACCACAGGCCAAAAAAATATCTTGCAGTTCCATGATCTAAGTAAGTAGTTAGGTTCAAACAACTGACTAAGTATTTCTGTCCTAACAGGTTATTTTTGCCTGTACCTGTTGAGCACTATGCGTTTGTATGTGTGTGGCTATGTGCATATGAGTGCAGGTGTCCTCAGCTGCCAGAGGTTAGGAATCACCCTGGATGTTGGTTTAGGGAATCAACCTCTGGCCCTCTGGAAGATCAGTATGTTGCTATTAGCTGCTGAGCCATCTCTCCGGCCCCTGGGAAAGTTTTTAAACTTTTGGATATGACTAGACAAAGCCATCTTCATTTCCTATTTTACATTAATTTTTGTCTAGTATTAACAATGTCATAGCAACCATCAGAAACAGCTGCATAAAATACTATTTTCAAAAACAACACAATAAGTTAAATGTCTAAGAGACTTCCAAAACCACTATTTCAGTCAAAAATGTTAATAACAAGGAAAAGACCAAAAACTGACAAATGAGACCTCATGAAACTTCAGAGTTTACTACAGCAGTGGAAACTGAGTAAAGAGACAGCCTACAGAATGAGAGAAAATCGTTGCCAGTTGTAAATTTGACACAAAGAATACACAAAGAACTGAAGGAAAAAGTAAACAAGAAAACACATAATCAGTTAAAAATGGCCTACAGAACTGAACAGAGTTCTTTTTTATTAAATTTTTATTTTTATATTAACTGCAGTTTATTTACTTTGTATCCCAGCAGTAGCCCCCTCCCTCAATCCCTCCCAATCTCACCCACCCTCCCTCATCTCCTCCCTGCCCCTCTCTAAGTCCACTGATGGGGAGGTCCTCCTCCCCTTCCACCTGACCTTAGATTATCAGGTCTCTTCAGGACTGGCTGCAATGTTCACTTCCGTGGCCTAGCAAGGTTGGTCCTCCCTTGGCGGGGCAGGGGGGGGAGAGGTCAAAGAACCAGCCATTGAGTTCATGTCAGAAATAGTCCCTCTGAACAGAGTTCTTAAAGGAGGAATACGAGTAGGAATAATTTTTTTAAGTGGCAAATATCCACAGGCATCAGGGAAATACAAATTTCATCTACTCTGAGATTCCATCTCACTCCAGTTAGAATGACTATCATCAGAGAGAGAGAGAGAGAGAGAAAGAGAGAGAACAAATGCTAGGAGGATGACAATGTGTCCTTATTCACTGCTGGTGGGAGTCTAAATTTGTTTGGCTACCATGGAAATCTATCTGGTGGTGTCTATTAAGTAAGTAAATAAATAAATAGAGGCCAGCCTGGTCTATGTAATGAATCCCAGGCCACCCAAAAATACACAGTGATAGCCTATAAGAAAGAAAGAAAGAGAGAGAGAGAGAGAGAGAGAGAGAGAGAAAGAAAGAAAGAAAGAAAGAAAGAAAGAAAGAAAGAAAGAAAGAAAGAAAGAAAATAAGAAAGAACGAACCTACCATATCTACCATATGACCCAGCTGTACCACCACTCCTGGGCATGTATACAAGGGCTCTGTATTCCACCAGAGATTCTTGCACATCACCCATGTTCGCTGATGTGCTACTCATAATAGCAAGGAAATGGAATCAGCCTAAATTTCCATCATCTGATGAATGGTTAGTAATTACATAGTACAGATACACAATAAAATTATATTCAGTGATATTTTTTTAAATTATGCTTGCAGGAATATACATGAAACCACGGCTCAGAAAGACATTGCATCCTCTCAATATCCATTCTCTTGATTCGAAGATCCTTGCATACAATTTTTACACATTTACATTTATGTGGAAATAAGTCTGTGTAGAAGCCAGAAAACTAGAAAGGAGCCTGTGGAACGTGGGGAGCGGGGAAGGCCACTTTAAGGGGTGAGGTTAATAGAACACATGTGATATGGAAGAGGAAGGAGGAATTCTGGGTGTAAAGTGTTCTGATACAGTTCACCAGCAATACAAGATGCTTTGGGTTTTTTGTTGTTTTGTGCTATTAGGTCATTTGAATTTTCGAACCATGAGCATGTATTGCAATCCCTTTATCTTGACTAAATAGAGGGGAAAATAGAATTGGAGGGGAAGTTCTTTGTGGTGTTCTGTGTTGAAAAGGGATAACCACATGTATATTTTTTAAACAAAATTAAGGTATGAGACTAGATCAGGAGTCACCAAATGTTATACACTATGGAAAATAAGAGTCACCTTGGGATGCAACAACAAAAACAACACTGCTTCCTAGGCCTGTATCTTGACTTACTGAAAGATGGAAGAATGGTTGGGAGACACAGTTTGTCCTGTCACCCAGGTGATCTGAGGTTTGGGAGGGCCTGGACTCAACAGGATCTCAGTCCTCTTCTAGCACTAAGATTTGAGAATTGGTGCCTGGCTGCTCTGTAGCCAGAGATTGCACACACTTGCTCATAGGGCAGCCTCTGGCAAGAGGCCCAGCCCCAGGACCGTCAGGCTGGGGCCTGCAGAGAAGGAAGAGGCATGAGCTACTTGACTCAGCCATAGAGATGGAGTCACAGAAGCCTGAGTCACAGGGGACACACGCTCTTCAAGAAACAGGGGGTGGAAAAAATTACTCTGTGGTCTCCTGATTGCATCAACAGCTAGCCTGCCTCAGGCCAGAGGAACCCCACAAAAGTCTTCCAGTAAGTCCGTTAACATCAAACAGTCTCTAGAACTTGAAATGCCAGGAATACAAGTTCCTTGGCTGATCTTTCCTAAGCAAAACCTGTCATTTACAGTAAAGCAGGCTTCGGGCTCATCCACAATAAGAAATGGACTAGGAAAGCCAGAGCCAGTCCTGTTTCACAGAGGGTGTGAAGGGGGAGGTCTTCAGTACTTTCCCTCCTACCCCTTCTGAAGTAAGCATTAAATCCCACTCCATGGAAGAGAACCCATGCCAGGACTGTACATCAGTCAAACACATAGCCTACCCATACCCCTGCTCCTACAAAACTAAGCAAGATATAGAAATAAGCATTTTTTTTAT